AAAAGTCTTTGGTTCTTCTATTGTATATTTTCACATGTGCTCTTACACCATTTGCAGGATTTCATGTCAAAATATGTAATTATTTTAATGTGTTGACTTGTTTTATCTTGGGGTGAGGTGAGGGATGTTAGTAGATTGAGCAGTGTCAGGCACAGATAGATGTGAGTTCAACTCAGATTACATTGAAAATTCATACATATTGCAGGCTGATGTGATTTCTCATTTTTTGTGCTGAGCCACGTATGTTTAATGTGATATGGGGACAATTCTGTGTAAATTACACGACAAAAATACCATTAACATTAAAGCAGATTACGCCAGACTTTTTTTATTCCTTGTTTCTCAAGTTTTTATAAGGCAATTTTTTTGAGGGCAAAAAAAAAATTAAATTAATTTTTTTTTCCATTAGATTTGTGTGATTCTCAAAGAATTGTAAGTGAGATCATTGATCGGAGAGAAGAAATGAAATAAAATGTTATTCCATGTATAACCTTGTTTCTTATCTGCGTGATACTTCAGTACTTTGATCATGATACTCCCACGAAAATGCAACTTGGATTTATTATGTGGCGGGCGGTAAAAAAAATTAAGCTAAAAATAATATTTTTTTAGCATTTTTTTGCGCTTACAAGTCAGAGGGCGCGAGAAATTACGCTGAAATAAAATTTTATTTTTATTTCATTTACGGCTCCTGTTCATTCGGCAGGTTCGCGAAACAAGGGATAATAAAAGTCTGGCCTCACTAAAGATTATGTATAAACTTACAATGCATCATGGGAAAAGGTGTCCTGTACTGAATGAGCATAGCAGGGTTTTAGGATTTGTCTGAGGTTCAAATATCTTTTTTGTTAATTCACAATATATGCATAAACATATTCACAAAATGACAATTTAGCAGCAATTTTTAGACCTCAATGAAAACATCACCTTTAATAACACTCAAATGTAAAGTCTTCAAGTACTTCTAGACAACTTATCGTTTATTTCACCTGTCACAAAGAAAAAAAGTGTTGATGTACCGGTACATGCAGAGTAAACAATGGTACAATGCCTGAAGATGGACATGCGTTTTTTCACTTAATTGTCTCTTAATAACAGTGATGTTCTGTATATCAATTTCCCTGTCTTCTTTATAACATGAAATTTCGCTATGTGAATATAAATAAAATCGCTTTATCTTTTGAGTAGCATTCAATCTAAAGTTTAATGATAGAATAGTTTTTATTCAAAACTTGCCATAATCAGATCATAGAAGTTGTATTGACTGCAACAAACATGCAATCATGTTGCTGTTTATGTCCTTGGATGTAAAGAGAATAATTCATTATAAATATTATGTGGAGCTTTACAATTTGCTGAATGTTTATTTAATACTCAGAAATGCAAATATTCCTATATATGAATCAAAGCATTTACTTGATTTTGAAACAAATTTTAGTATGTCTTGCAATACTTTTCAAAATTCTGCTAATTAGTTTTCTTGTGGTTATAATTAAACTAGAATAATTAGTATCTGATCATCTTCATTATTCTATCCATCACTGTAAAATCTAAACCTATTTAAATTTGGATGTGCCTGGCATGTGTACTGTTCACAATATAAGTGAAAATTTTGCATAAAAACATAAATACAGAGATATTTGTATTGACGCTACTAAGACCCAGTTGTTTTTGTGTTAAGATTTGTTATTTATATCGTGCAGTAACTTAATGATTGTGTAGTTAATAATTTTCCCCACCAAATTTTGGTCAGTACTTTCCCCACCAAATTTTGGTCATTATTTTCCCGCCTAAGTTTTAGCAAGTATTTGTGCCCACCAAATTGTTTTATACTGGGTAACTTTTGTATAGTTAATCTTATTCAGGATTTGTCTAGTGTTAGGTTTGGTTGTTAATTCATCCAACAAACCAAGTATATAGTTAGTCGAATGGTTCTGAACATTGAATCATATTGTCCAAGATTTAGTTGGCTTAAAATAAATGATATTTAGTGTCTAGTTAATGAAATTAACTAAATATATTAATTTGTAAAAACGCCCAAGAAATCATACATGGGATATGCTATGAGCAAGGTTATAATAGCTGTACTATGTTTTAGCCATCTTTTGAAAGCAACTGCTAACAAAACAATGCTGAAATAAGTTTGCTTATTACCTTATGAGCCCACTGCGAAATCTCAATGAGTAGAACCTTGTGTGGTAGTGTAAACAGTGAAATAATTTGTGCTTCACTGATGTTTTGGAGATGCTTCAACACATGCCATAGGAAGTGTATGTTGAGATACAGATGTAAAGTCTGGGCTAAGAACATAATGATCATAGACGAATGAGCTCCACAAATGTAGGAGAATGCAATTTGGACTTTTCATTCTCTAGATATTCAATTTTTTTCAATATTATGTACGCAACCATCTTAATTCTCCAGCAAAGGATTGTGGGCAAAGTAACATCATACCCACTGTTGTGAAAAATTAAAAAAAATATTTCATCTGTAACTTAGCAAATACTGATGTGAACTAATTCAAATTTTCAGTGTGCATATTACTTGTGTTGATAATTGTAATGTCAATACATGTACCCAGAATGTTGCAAATACAAAAACAGCAAAGAATATTGCCAATGAATGACACTTTTTTTTGTCCCTTTTCTGTCTCTCATCGAAAAATTGTACAAAATTTACAAAGAGTTCAGCCTACAGAAGAAAAATGCAAAAATAATATTGTCAGTTCTGTTGCCATGGCAACCATTTCATATGCGTGTTCGGCACCTGTACATGCTTGCTACCAAGTGTTACTTCTGAAGTTATAGATGAAATCATTTTCAATGTCACACTTCACCCATAATCCATTGCTGGAGAATCAAGATGGTGTGTTACATAATACTTATGAAAAGTTGAATATCCAGAGAATGAAAAGTAATATAAAATAAACTTCCCAGAATTTCCCTTCAATTAAATACAGATTCCTGTGGGATTTTAGTTGTGATAACTCAATATTTGAATTTTATTTCAGAGTGCTCTTTAGGTTCAACGGATGATGACTTTACACATGTCTGATATAATTGGCAATTAAATTGGAGACTAAAATGTACATAAATATTTTTCATAATTGGAATATTTTCTGTAATGTATATATATATATCATTAAAACGCATGTTAACTGCCTTATCACATTGAATTCTGAGATGTGTAAAAAAATATACCTGTAATAAGAAAGAAGTGGCATTTACTGCATTTATCAAAACTGCATTCATATTTACGTCACTGAAAATATTTTTTATGAACGGAAGGACATTTTTTTTTGAATGTGAGGTATCTTTTTCAAATATGGTTTTATATTCATGTGTTTGAATAAGTTTGTTTTAATAATTCATATATATTCATGGTTTAATTTTTGAGATTGATACAAGCAAATAAAGCATGAAATCAAACATGCTTGTTATTTCTTTATTTTGTATGATTCACTGATATATTATATAAACTAGATAATCAGATATCTCAGCCTGATTGTCTAATCTATAAGAGAATCAACCCCTTCATATGATTCACTGATACATTATATAAACTAGATAATCAGATATCTCAGCCTGATTGTGTAATCTATATGAGAATCAACCCCTTCATATGATTCACTGATACATTATATAAACTAGATAATCAGATATCTCAGCCTGATTGTGTAATCTATATGAAAAACTACCCCTTCATATGATTCACTGATACATTATATAAACTAGATAATCAGATATCTCAGCCTGATTGTGTAATCTATATGAGAAACTACCCCTTCATATGATTCACTGATACATTATATAAACTAGATAATCAGATATCTCAGCCTGATTGTCTAATCTATATGAGAAACAACCCCTTCATATAATTCACTGATATATTATATAAACTAGATAATCAGAT